CTCTTTCTTATCATCTATCCACATTTTTATTGGTTAGTATACTAACTTGCTTTTTTTTAGAAAGTGAAATTAATTCAATACTAAAGTGATCCGGGCGCCTGGGTGGCTCAGTTGGTTAAGCGACTGCCTTCGGCTCAGGTCATGATCCTGGAGTCCCGGGATCGAGTCCTGCATCGGGCTCCCTGCTCAGCGGGGAGTCTGCTTCTCCCTCTGGCCCTCCCCTCTCTCATGCTCTCTGTATCTCATTCTCTCTCTCAAATAAATAAATAAAATCTTTAAAAAAAAAAATACTAAAGTGATCCATCTCATTTATTATATCTGACTTAATCTCTAAAGTTAAGAATAGCTTTATTCCTATTAGTTTTTCCCTCATTCCTCATGAACATTTAAATAATTTTTAAATGTTTAATCATAGTTAAAGTCAGAATAACATATTTTACTCTTTTAGATTCATCCAAGCCTCTACAAATTATATTTCACATTTGCCAGCTTACTGGATAACATTTATTGGGCTATCCTTATGCTCTGGTGAGTTACAGAACCTTACAAATATTCATTCTCTATCTTTATAAATGAAGGTAATAAGAAATAGTAGAAAGGCTGTCTAGTTAATGATATATGAAGTTTATAACTCTGTTTTTTAAGAGGTAACATCTGTAAAAAGGTATAAAATAGAAGGGGGAAAACAGTTGTTTACTCACGCTACATATTAGTTTCTGAGAGTATACTATATGGAAAATTTAAATAAATTTCCTGAGACATTGATCCTCATTATAATACATAGCATTGTAAAACTCATTTATACTTAATGAGGCTATCTATCTACATGCTCCAGTCAAGGATATTCAACAACGCTCTTTTATTGTCATAGTCATCTCTTTCTCTATATGCCTGTAAAATTATTTAAAGCAGGGATATCAATTTTGGTAAAGTACATTGAGTAAGACAGACCCCTATCTTATCAAAAAGACTTCTTAGAATAGTGGCTATATTTGAATAATTGGACAACATACATGCTTAGAATTAATGGGGTTAACTTTTTTTAAAAGCTAACATTTGTTTAAGTACTAACTATAGAACAGGCACTATTCTATTTGCTTTACATGTATTATTTCATTTAATCCTCATTCACAATGAGTGAGATACTAATAGTACTCACATTTTACTAATGATTAAACTCAACCATAAAAAGGTTAAATAACTTGCTCAAGTTCACATAACTTGTAAACAGAATATTGGAAAACCTTATTTTAAGGAAAGATCTAGATGTCCACTGGTTTGGCCAACCTTCACTGATGGCTCTTAAGAAAATGGAAAATGGACTCCAGGTCTCTAAACATCTCTTTCAAGAAAATCATGCTACTTTATATATTCAAAAACAGTCGCATAAATTCAAAGGAAAAAGTGGTAACTTCTGGCAGATGTGAGTGAGAAAATTAAAAACTGGCATGTGATCTGCGTCTTTGAGGATAACCAAGTTTTCAAATGGCAAAGGTTGGAAGGTAGTCTAGAAATACATCAATATGGGCAAAAAGATGGAAATTAAAAAACCTAAAGAGATGTGAAAGGCACATCTGAGAATCTAGGAATAGAGGTAAAAATTTCAAAAGCTGCAGAGAGAGAAATTGGAATCAAAATGAAATTTTTTCTGTAAGTTTAAACTTCATGAGGCTTAATGATATATTCTTTGAGAAAAATTTTAGAATAAGAGAAATACAGAAAATGTTGGTTTTCTTCCATTTTGAGTAACGTAAGTGGCCATTTGCATGAGTTCCAATTTACAATTGCCAGTAGCTATACAATGAATTCACTTAGAAGTACTATACATAGGATAAGAGTATACGATGTGATGTCTTACCCAATGTTCTCTGAGACAATAAACCAAAGGACATGCAGTAGCAGATTAGGGTAATGTCTGCCATAGTATCTATCTGAAAAGCACTTCTACAGTCACTAGAATGGACCTTCGTTTACATTGCAAATATTTATGTATGTTTATAACACTGTCTCCTCATATAAATGCAAAGTACTGAATTGTCATAAATATGAGAACCAGCTGCATATTCTAAATCATAGGAATGCCCTAGAGTACAGGTATAGGCACACTCATGTGGTTTAGTGTTCAAGGTTAGTGACAGCAAAATGTGTCTACACAGATGTTTCTTGCTCTCCAAACAGTTCCTGTGCTAAGCTCCCTACCTTCTAGTTCACCCTGCTATACTGATGTAATTGTTACAATAAACTTTGGGTAACATACACAAGCATAAAAATCAAATATCCTCTAAAAGTATCCATAAGTATGACCTTCAAACAACCACTGTATGCATTTTAGTGAAAGTAATCCATTTTTCTATGCATATACATGCATATATTTGAAACTGGGCTTCAAAATCCGTGTCTCTAGTCATAACTCTAAGACTCACCTTTATGTATAGGATCAATGTGGTATTATATCCAGAAAAGCCAAGTGTTTAAAACCATACTATTACTCAGCTGATTCATCACAATAATAATGATGCCATTAGTTTCTTGGGAATTTTTCTTCTCATCTGTTTGTTTCTGGTGATATAATATCCCTAAGAGCCAAGCCCACCCTTTCAAGAAGTTTCACCCCAAACAGATGACTCTCTAAGGAACTTCTGGTCCTCAAAACTATCACCATTTCTAAAACCAAGCTGGAATTTAGTACAGGCAGGATTTATAGCATTAAATCAATTTAAAAATATAAGGCTCTCCTGAACCTCATATAATAATTACAGGAACATTGGGGCGCCTGGGTGGCTCAGATAGATGGTTAAGCATCTGCCTTCGGCTCAGGTCATGATCCCAGGGTCCTGGGATCGATCCCCACATCGGGCTCCTTGCTCCTTGGGAGCCTGCTTTCCCCTCTGCCTCTCTCTCTCTCTCTCTCTCTCTCTCATGAATAAATAAATTTAAAAATTTTTTTTTAATCTTAAAAAAAAAATTACAGGAACATTTCCAAATTTCACTCAGACTCTGGCATTTGGTTGTCACATTAGTTGAAAAGACTATTCATTCTCCATTGAATTGTCTTGGTGCCTTTATCGAAAATCAATTGACCAGAATATGCTAGAATTTCTGGACTCAATTATATTCCATTGAAATGTATATCAATCATTATGCCAGTAAAACCCTGCTCAAGTTATTACAGCTTCACAGTAAATTTTAAAATCAGGAATGTGAGTCCTCCAACTTTGCTCTTCTTCTTCAGGATTGTTCTGGACATTCTGGGTCTCTCGCACTTCCATATGAATTCCAGGATCATCTTAATTTCTTCAAAAACAGCTTGTTGGGATTTTGATTGAGATTGTGTTTAATCTGTACGTTATGGGGAGATTATTGCCATTTTAACAATATTAAGTCTTCCAATCCATGAACATAGAATGTCATTCCATTTGTTTAGGTCTAATTTAATTTCTTTCAATGTTTTATGGTTTTCAGAATACCAGTTTTACACCTTTTTAGTTAAATTTATTCCTAAGTATTTTATTTTTTTGATCTATGGTAAATGCAATTTTTTTTCTCATTTCATTTCTGGACTGTTCCTTGCTGAACATGCCTATTAGCTCTAATAGTTTTTTAATTGATTCCTTAGGATTTTCTAAATGCAAGATCATGTCATTTGCACATAAAAATACTTTTACTTCCTTTCTAACCTAGATGACTTTTATCTCTTTTTCTTGCCCAATTGAGCTGGCTAGAACTTGTAGCACAATGTTGAATAGAAAGGAGGAGAGCTAACATTCTTACCTTATTCTTTTTTTTTTTTTTTTTTTTAATTTATTTGACAGAGAGAGACACAGCGAGAGAAGGAACACAAGCAGGGGGAGTGGGAGAGGGAGAAGCAGGCTTCCCGCCGAGCAGGGAGCCCGATGTGGGACTCGATCCAGGGACTCCAGGATCATGACCTGAGCCGAAGGCAGTCACTTAACGACTGAGCCACCCAGGCACCCCCATTCTTACCTTATTCTTGATCTTAGATACAAAAACATTCAGTCTTTCACCATTAAGTAAGATGTTAGTTTTTCACAGATGGACTTTACAGATTAAGTTCCTTTCTAGTCCTAGTTTGTTGAGTACTTTTATCATGAAAGGGTGTTGAGTTTTGTCAAAGCTTTTTCTGATTTATTAAGATGATCCTGTGGTTTTTGTCCTTTATTCTACTGATATGATGTATTACAACAATTGACTTTCAGGAAACTAATCTTGCATTCCTGGGATAAATCTCCCTTGATCATGGTGTATAATTGTTTTTATAGGTTACTGTATTCAATTTGTTAATATTTTGTCGAGGATTTTTACCTACATTCATAAGAGATATTTATCTGAGTTGTCTTTTCTTCTGATGTCTTATCTGGTTTTAGTATCAGGGCAATACTGGCCTGATACTAAAGGGTTGGGAAGTGATCCTCTTTTGTTTTTTGGAATAGCTTGTGAAGAAATTCTATTAATTCTTCCTTAAATATTCGGTCATATTTTGTTCTTTAACTTTTTCTATTTTTATACTTTTAAACATGCACTCTGATAGCATGTCCAATAGGAGGCCATAAATGTCCAGCCTTTCACTCTGTAAACCTGAAATTAATATATGGTATCTATGATCCACAACAGTATTGTCAAAGTTTGAGTTACAGGAAAGAGAAGTTCACTAATTCCTCCTTAAAAAGTTTTCCAAGTTTAAAAAAAAAAAATAGTTGGGAAACATTTATTTCGGGCGTGAACTGTTTCTCCTGTTCCCCCAGCTCTCTCCCATTTCGCGACCCTCCCCAATGCAGAGTTCCGAACCACGTGCGCACAGATCTGATAGGTGACACTGGGGTACGATTGTGGCATCCTCCCGCTTCCGTCAGCATCTGGAGGGGGAGGAGGTTGGGCCAAGAGGGTCTCCAGAGGCGGAGCGGAGGAGGAGAGAATGCAAAACAGTGCCTCGTCCCTGGAACCTACGGAGGAGCAACGCCCCTCGCTATAAATTCAGAGCTGCCTCACCGCGGATGATTCCAGCTCTTGTCAGCCAGGGCCCCAGGCAGTGGCGACAGGCACGGCTAGCAGCTCTGTCGTGCTAGGGCGGTGATTGATGGGGAGCAGCCCAAGCGAACCCCAGGAGTGAGGGCGCACCGCAGGGACGCGGAAGCGGCGGGAGGAAGCCCCGCACCAGCGCTGCCAGCTTGCGGTCCGACCTGGGCTCAGCGCCCTGGGCGCGGGTGAGTCGACACCGACTCCCATGCCGGGTTTGGGGGCTGCGGGGCGGGGCTGATCAGTTTCATGTCAAGGCGTCCTAACTGCGGGTGCTGTGCTGGTAGGCTCCCGGGGACGAAGGAGAGAGCGAGCTTAGTTCTGGCCGGCGCCCACCGGGAACTGGCCGCCCTTCCCCAAATCAGGTGAGGGGCGCCTGGGTTGCAGGGAACAATTTGAGACTGTTCGCTGCGTGCCCCCAAAATTTCATTCCGATTTGACCAGACTCTTTTGAGGACAAGCAAGATATCTTCAGAACTGGGATGCAACCACGTAAACTTTCTTCCCGAGGCTTTTCACCAACTCTTGTCCTTTCACTGTATCTTGAGTGAGACGCCGGTATAACTCCGCGGGGCGTCCATTTAAAAGTTGTGCTATTTCTAAGGTGAAGTTCAGAGTGTCCCCAACCTCCCCCTCCGCTTCCAAGGCAACACCCCAGCACAGCTCATTTCCCCCTCACCCCTCCCTGCAAACCATACTGATGGGTCCTTGGTACTGGACACCGCCCCCACCTGGAGCAAACTCTTCCACCTTCAGGTGTTCCCAGGTGCCCTTTGATTCATCAGATTGGCAAGGGGGAGAAGCCGGGGCGTCTCCACACCCCAATCCCCACAGCCCTGGCCTGTACACGTTTGTAAGAGAAGCCCTTTTTGGCTCCCTTCCTCCACACCACCTCCTAGCATCCCATTCTTCAATTCTCTTAACTGCAGCCCAGTCTTTCTACACTGCCAGCCTGCTACTTCTCCCCAAGACCTCAGCACGTCTTTCCCAAAGCGTACCCTGCCCCATTGTCTTTGCGCAGCTAGTAGAGACCCCGCTATTAAACCCAGCTGGGGTTTCTTTACCTTTTCTTTGTTTTCTGGTGGTGTATCAGAAGTCCATGACAGGCCCTCAAAGCCCTCTCTTCTCAGTAAAAGTTTGGGTGCTCCTGTTCTCCTGGGATCGAATTTGTGACTTAGCTACATTTATTTCTAATGTCATTCAGAGAAGAGAAAGTAACAGTGAGGGATGTAAGAAATCTGGGACTGGACCGTTCCGTTTTATAACTTTGTTGAGCAACTTGTTTGTCCTAAAGGTACCTCATCCCCAACATGATTCACTTGGTAGATACCATCTGAATGTCCTGGCTTATTTCCTTTAGCATAAGCTGTAACCTTTTGTAAGTCTTCTCTAAGAAACTGCTTCTCTGTCTCCTGCTGTGCTTCCCTAGCTCTAAAGACCCCACATAGATAATCTCTAGTTAGGTTGTGGTGGATTCTGCCACCCTCACAGGCAGACAGTGGAGGGGCAGGGAAGCGCCAGGAGCAGGGAATGGGGAGACCCACTTAAATGGCTGTGTACTATTAGGAGAGTTATTTCACAACTCTGAACCTCAGGTCCCTGCCCTTGAGGTTCCCTCCAGTGATAAAATTCCTTGATTCCTTTTGTTTCCTAGTTATTTGCTTAAAAAATAATAGTCTAAAATAATTACCCATTTAGCCCATGTTTGGGACTCTCAAAACTCTTTTTTTTTTTTTTAAGATTTTATTTATTTATTTGACAGAGAAAGACACAGCGAGAGGGAACACAAGCAGGGGGAGTGGGAGAGGGAGAAGCAGACTCCCTGCCGAGCAGGGAGCCCAATGCGGGGCTCGATCCCGGGACTCCAGGATCATGACCTGAGCCGAAGGCAGTCGCTCAACCAACTGAGCCACCCAGGCGCCCTCTCAAAACTCTTTAAATAACTGTCCTGGTAAATTATCTATTCTGAAAATCATTGCGTTTCCAGGGCTGGCTCCAAAAGTCCAACTCCCTCCCCCCCAGATTATGGCTGGCAGTTCCCATAACCTGGTTTATGTACTCAGGGAGTGTACCCCCAGTTGCCAGGTCTCAGCATTTATTAAAGTTTCACAGTTATTAGTGTCAAATCTGTCATCTCCTCTGTCTCTTTTTTTTTTTTTTTTTTTCTGACTTCATTGTTCTTTGTGCCCATCATGAAACCTCCATTTCTGGTAAGGCTCTTCTTTGACTTAAACTGAATCAAATGCTCCATCATCCAACTCAGAAGAAAGCTGGTTTTCTTCCACTGGTTCCACTGATGCCAAAGGAAGACTTAGCTTCCTTGAGATGTATAAAGTGCCTTTCAGTCACTTTTGCTTCGCCAATGCTCCCCATCCCAAGAGTTCTAAGCCTAAATCTTTCCTGTCACTCTAACCCTGGTTCAGTGTTCAAAAAAGAAACAATCTGTGGATTGTTCAGGTTTCTTACACTGTGGTTTTTTTTTTTCTAGTTTGAAGTAAGAAGTGTGTGTGTGTGTGTGTGTGTGTATGTGTACATTTTTTGGTTTGTTGCAGCTGGTTATTACTGTTGTTGCTACCATCACTAATTATTTGCCCTATGCAGGAGGAAAAAGAGTGAAAGAAAATTTAATCTGCTACTTACCCAAAGCCCCGGTAAAATACTTAGCTGAGAGAAGTCTAAATCTAATAGTTTAAATGTATGATGCATGTTTTCTGTAGTTTTATCTGTGCCACCACATCCTTTTCAAGCAAATAACAGATTTGCTGTATTTTGTTTTCAAATTTGTTACAGGAACCTAGACTAAGTCCCATAACACCTTTATGTTTTGGCTGCCTGATGCAGGCTCCCAGCCTTTAGCCCCACACTCATTAGTTTACCTAGTGCTTTGCCTGCTCAGTCATGACTGGGCTATGCCAGAGAGTCTCCCAAGTAAGCTAGCAAATTAAGAATTTTATTTAGATGTTTGAAGTAAATCCAAGTGTTGTAAAGATTAGAAAGCTGTCTTAAAGACACATTGTGGCAAATAACAAATATAGAGCCAGACCAGCAAACTATGACAAAGCAGTCAAGGCCAGGTTAGGAATGCTCTTCTCCCATGTTATCTAGTAAACTGGACAAATCACCTTTTAAACTCATCGCCACTGAAAAGTGCTATTATTTTTCTTCAAAATAGTTCTAAGCCATCCCTTTCAAAACTGCCTAAAGTCACTGGATTGCATGGTTTGTGTTCCTTGCCATGTAGTTACTTATTAAAATAGCGTATCAAAGTTCCCATAAGCAAAAGTAAGTTTTGTTCCACTTCCAGCCTAAATTTAGCTGTCATTTTACTTTTTTTATTAATTATATGAATTTTAACTACCAAAATTCAACTTTTCGATGACTTAATATATAAAGCTATCTTAAATCAAGGAGTGTCTATAGGGATTTAAGGTAATAGTCAACTGATTTGACAAATAACTACTGTTACCCTATTAAAGCTCTAAAATACATCCAAAATAAATCACAGCCAAAAAAACAAAAAAATCAACAACTAAAGAGCTATACATGAGTTATACATTTGCCAAATGTTTTATTAGTCAGTGGTTATTTTAATGAGAAATTTGACAATTGGAAATAGAAAACAAAGTATAGTCATAGAAATGACAAGTGAATCTTGATATTAGTCATTGTATTAACATTGAAAGTTTTGCTATCTGATTTTTTATTCTCTGTAGCAGATGGTCACAAGGGAAAACAATTCCTTTGAGAGTTAAAATCAATCTTTCAAATATTTTACTGACAGAATTCACTATATGCTGTAAATATCATGACTTCTGTATTTTACATTATTCTTATAGCTCAATTTAGAAGTTTTTATTTGTCTGGTTCCTAAATAGGTGCATCATCCAAATGTCTTAAGTAGAAATAAATGTCTAGAATTTGCCAGAGATTACCAGTTTCCTTCCTATATCTAAGACTATTTTAAATTGTGTTGCTAGTCTCACATTTAATTACTTTTCTAACATTTAATAGTTTAGAAAATGGGTGAAGAAATGGGGTATGCTTTGTTTTTCCCAATCACATTGTGCCTTCATATTCCAAGTCCTAAGTCTAAATGTCCTTAAAATTTTAAATCATGGAATTAATAATCATTCAGTTTGGGTCAAGTTTTATATGATTTCTTGTTCACTTTATACACATATAAGCTGTTTTATTCTTCACCAAATGATGTTAAAACTTATTTATATCAGTGGATTTAAGTACTTTGAATGGTTAACTTCAGAGTGAGAATACTGGAGAACACACATATGATTGTGTACTATTAAAAAGAGTTTATGGGGGCACCTGGGTGGCTCAGTTGGTTAAGCGACTGCCTTCAGCTCATGATCCTGGAGTCCCGGGATAGAGTCGGGCTGGGAGTCTGCTTCTCCCTCTGACCCTCCTCCCTCTCACGCTCTCATTCTCTCGCTCTCTCAATAAATAAATAAAAATCTTTTTTAAAAAATAAAATAGTTTATGATTGCTAATTTGCTCTCTACGATGTCTTTAGATATTTACCAATTAATATTAATCAAAGCTACTCTATCCACCTTGGAAAATAAAGAATTGTATGTATGAAATGTATCAACAATAGAAGATATTACAGAGGAATTACTATGGATCTGAGTGATATTAGCTCCTTAAGAATACTCAAGTATAAAAATGGTCTTTGGCCTAGAGAGATGTTGGTCAAGCTGAGTACATATTTGGATATGAGTCTCTCCAGGCATCTCTGTGACACTGGGGTGGGAGGCCATTTTAAAACAAGCCTCGGGCGCCTGGGTGGCTCAGTTGGTTGGGCGGCTGCCTTTGGCTCAGGTCATGATCCTGGAGTCCCGGGATCGAGTCCCGCATCAGGCTCCCTGCTCAGCGGGGAGCCTGCTTCTCCCTCTCACCCTCCCCCCTCTCATGTACTCTCTCTCATTCTCACTCTCTCAAATAAATAAATAAATCTTTAAAAAAAAAAAAGCCTCCTTCCGTCCTACTTTTCAGACCAGGTGAAATGTCTAATGTGGTCACATTGTTTGATTCCAGCCACTTCCACAACTTTCCCTTCCTTAAGGGAGTATACCTCCTTTGATAATATATGCACCACATCCAATACTAAATGCTCCACAAATCACTTTCTTGCTTGCTTATTATTTGTTTTCAGCTAAAGCCATGGAAAATGTTAAATACATTTTTCAGATCCCTATATTTTAGAAGAGATACACTAGAGAGGAACAATTTTCCTAACCTCCTTGAGTATAGTATCCTATTAGACACAATAAAATGACTTGAAATTGATGCTTTACTCTTACTAATTGGGGAACTAACTACTATTTTTTAGTCTAAAGCTGTAAAGGCAAGGGGAAAGCAGAGGAAAGAGTAAGAAAAGGAGAAACAGAATAAAAGTTGAAATGGCAAATCAGTGGTTCTTAGGGCATTAGGGAAAAGGTAAGGCAAGCATGCTACAATTACCTGGGAGGCATTTTAAATCCGTATATGTTGTCTAAACTTTACTTATTCCCATTGCCCCTACTGAGAACCACTGTACTATAAATTAGGAGCAACCATCCACAATTACCTCAAGTGTCAAGGCAAAGATCAGCATCATGGGCATCATGTGGGAGCTTGTTAGAAATGCAGACTTTCCGACTCAACCCAGACCCATTGAATAAGAATCTGCATTTTAACAAAATCCTCAGGTGATTCAAATGCACAGTGAAGTTAGAGGAGTCCAAGTGTATAACACCTAGGCCTTGTTTAGGATGATTACCTAGGGCACCTGGGTGGTTCAGCAGTTAAGCCTCTGCCTTGAGCTCAGGTCATTTCCCAGGGTCCTAGGATCCAGCCCCACAGGGCTTCTTGCTCAAGGGGGAGTTGGCTTCTCCCTCCACCCCTCCCTCTGCTCATGCTTGTGCACTCTCTTGCTCTCTCTCTCATAAATAAATAAAATCTTTTAAAAAATAGAATGATTACCTAGAGGTTATTTTATTGGCTTTTTAATAAACTAACATTTTGACATAAAGCTAACACTTATTGAGCACAGATAATATGCCAAACACATTCAGCCTTTAGTATTGTTTTTATTTAATCCTCACAACATCCCTATGAAATAGGTACTGCTTTATCCTCATTTTATAGATTAGGATACTGAGTAATAATGAGATAAGTAACTCACCCAAATGTGGTAACTGGTAAAGATTTAAACACAGGAATTTTGATTCCTGTGCTTTTAGCTGCCACCCCACACTATCTACATTTGGCTGCCTGCTTTTTAAGGCCTCCTAATTATTTGAGAATTTACTTAACATTATAATTTGAAATCAAGTTCTGTTTCATCGAAAAAAAACAAGATCTATTCCATTTTAGTTATAACATTTGCCTGTCCTCTTACCTTTAAGTGCAATAATAAAGGATTCTAGAAATTCCTTCTTTAGTTGGAAAATAAATACTAAAACTATAACAGCTCATTATTTAAAACTTAAGATTTGATATCTCTGTGTTTTCTCATAACTTACCTAAAATTTACTCTTTTTACCTTTTGGTGTTCTGATGCTATTAAAAAAAAAAGTTTTCTCTTGAACAAGTGATTCCCTACCTACACAAATTATTCAGCCTTCCAACTCAAATTATAGAACACTCTTTCAGCTTTAATATGAACATTTATCTACAAGCATGGTTCACAAAACTAGTTGAATATAGTTACTAATCAATCAGTCTGCAAGCAAATGGTGACTTCTTTTAAGCCAGTGACTCCCCAGATGATTAAGTCTCTGAACAATTTCTCCTAGTGCATGTAGATTCTCCAAGAGCTGTCAGTTGGATCTGTCCAAAAGCCTGTTGTTCTGACAGGGGCTCATTGATGTTGATCAAAAGACAGAGGTGAGTCTGGGTTCCCTGTGATCATGTTTGAGAGGAGAGGTGTGTCAACATGACTGAGCAGCTACAATTTTCCCAGTGATAAAGGGACATCCTTGGGAGATGGAACTTCACCAGCTGCTTAGATCTGGAACTTTAGGCAGCACTAACAGTACAGTGTCTAATTTGTAACTTATGGCTTAGGACACAATGAACCCAGGGCTGCCATAATGCCAAGTTGTACGGGCCTAGCAGGGCGGGAGTGCCCAGGAGACATACTGCACATAGCAGCAGAATTCCTTAGAGCTAATAAATGATCAAATACCAGTGATTCTCTTATGACCCTTTACAGTCCTGCTGGTCTCACTGAGCCCAAATACTTGTGACTGGCGCTGCACAGAATCTGCACCAGGTTTTCTTCTAAATAAACTGAAAAACATAGCATTTCTACCAGTAAACGTCATACATTTATACCTTTATCATCACATACACTTTTCTTCACTTTTTGACCCAAACTCTTCTCGTTATCCAATTCAAATGCATTTTACATGCTTCTAAATCTGTGTAGTATGCCACTAGAACAAGAATATTCCATTAACCGAGCTTTAGTAATCTTTCTGTTCAAATGATGTCACTTCACATAAAACACATTGTACCATGATGGATCCCAGCCCTTAACCTTCACACAGTTAATTGCTGCCACTTTATCAGGAATGGAAAAGAATCGGATGTGATTCCTACGTAATGATTTCTTGAATGTGTTCTGGCATTTGATCTACTGGGTTAATCGAATAAATTTTTAAGAGAACCACAAATCTATTCTTTTAAGTTCCTATTAGATTAAGCCATATGATGGGACATTATATAGTCATTTTTACATATTTAATAATATTTAATAGCAAGGAAAGATAATCATAAGTGAATAGAGCAATATAAAAACATAAATCATGAGAGTGATCCAACGTGTGTGTGTGTGTGTGTGTGTGTGTTTGGGAGATTCTTGTCAAGTTGCCATTATGGCCTTATTGGGTCATTGGTATTCTAATGAAAATAGTTATACTAGCACTGATGTGTGGTTAAAATCACTGATATATTTTTTAAATGTCTGCATCTTTGTAAACCAGATAAGACTAGGAAAAATATATAACAAATCTTAAAATCTTTTGAGAGTTATTAAGATCAAGGCTAAGATCAAAAGTGACTTTTTTCTTTCCCTTATTTTTTGGTATGTGCTTTCAAAATCTCTATTACTTTTATACTTCTTACTTTCTGTTTGTCTCAGAATATCTATTACTCTCCCTCCAACTAACTCTAGATTTCGGATCTTTAGACAACTGCTACTAACTCTGTAGAGAAGGATACTGGCAAATCCGACGCTTTCTCTGATTTTTTTTTTCCTAAGATACACTAGTGCCTTACAGGAGTTCACAAGGTTTATACCATGGTGGTATTTCTTGTAAGAGAAATAATCTTGTGGGAAATGTCTTATTGCCATAACAACAAAACCACTGAAATGCAGGGCTAAAAAGAGATTCTTCTAATGCCAAAATCATTCCAAATAAGAATGTTATATTAAAGTTGGTATACATTGTGGTTTAAAAAGTAACCTATACTATACCTATTGTCTTTTTGAATAACTCTTCAGATTTAAAAAATTTCTTACTTAAATATGTCCCCCAAATCCATAATGAAAATTACTGGTTAATTTGGCTACATAAAAAATTAAAATGATCATATAGTAAAAAGGACCATAAACAAAGTCAAAAGATAAACAGGAACTTGGGAAAGCTATTTGCCACACATTACATGTAAAATGCTAGTTTCCCTAACATAACATAAGCTCTTTAAAATGAGAAACAGTGAACGACCCAATTGAAAAATGAGCAAAGGCCATTACTGGGAAAACTAGTAGAAGAATAACTACAAAAAATAAAAAAATAAACTCAACTTCATTCATAATTAAAGAAATGCAAATCAAGACAAATACATACTTTTCATTTATCAAACTGAGAAAAAAATTTGAGATTTGATAAAAGCCAGGTTGTTAGCATCATATATTGGTATAACCTTTATAGAGGACATTTTTTAAGTATCTCTCAAAAACATGGACTATACAGTTTGCTTTAACAATCATTTTGAAACTTTTCTACTGATATATAGCTTTAAAAAATGCATATGTATAAATAGGATCATTGAGGCATGTTCTTAAGCAGCCAAAAAGGGAAACTGAAAAAAAGAAGGCCGTAAGGCCCAGTAATAGGGGCCTGGTTGAATAAATCATCATGTATCAGTGCAATGAATGAAATATTGTATAGTCATCAAAATAAATGAGGCAGATGTATGTATACAGTATAGATAGTTCTAGCCATATTAAGTTTAACAAAAAAGCAAAGAGCAGAATAGTATGATGTATAAAATGAAAAAATATGGATATACACATTTGTATGCATGTGTGTGCTTTTTTAAAAGTCCTAAAAGGGGGCGCCTGGGTGGCTCAGTCGGTTAAGCGTGTGCCTTCGGCGCGGGTCATGATCCCAGGATCCCGGGATCGGGCCCCGCATCGGGCTCCCTGCTCAGTGAGGAGCCTGCTTCTCCCTCTACCTCTATCTGCCACTCTGCCTACTTGTGATCCCTCTCTCTCTCTGTCAAATAAATAAAATCTTTAAAAAATAATAAAATAAATAAAATAAAAGTCCTAAAAGGATACATATGGAAGTGTTAGTAGTAAGTACCTCTAGGAAGTGGAACTGAGAGACCATTACAGAAGGCTAGGAGACATGAAGTTTTATTTTTATACTCTTTTATAACTTGACATTTATGCCACAAGCATGTATCACTACACTGAGAAACAAAAACAGACATACAGAAAAAAAGATCTCTTAAAAAGATTTTTTTTTCAATTCTTGTGCAATAACGCTTATATAGGTTTATATTAAAAAGAATCATCAAAGTTTATAGATTCACAAGTAAGTAATCTATTATGATATTTCTTATATTAGTAGTTATGTCTACAGAAGTGTCTTAGAATAAGATTGCACTATTTTACCCAAAAACATTGTTTTTCTCCTCTAGTGTGTATCTACAAGGGTATGGGGGAAGATGTTGACTATAACCAGGAAGAAGATGAAATCTCATGACAGACTGCCACTTGGTACAGCCTAACTCTCCATAAGGACAAACACATCCTTGATATGGGCCAAACGGTTTCATTCCCTTCAAAAACACATTCCAGATGTAGTGTTAATACTTACTCTGTCAATTAAAAAATGAAAATCTGACCATATTCAGTGAATCCCATTAATCTTTTTTCTTTTCAGATTGAATACATGATAAATTGGTCTCAAATGGCTGGGGTTTCATCTGAATAAGACACGAAAGCCATCCCAGAAGTTCTGCATCCAGGTAACATGTCTTACACCTATAGCACTCTATCTGTCAGTGGTTTTTCTCTAATATGTCAACAGTGGAGGTAGCACAAGAAGCCACATACACCATTGTCTAGAGATAGAAACAGAGGAAGCAGAAAAGAATGAAATTCCAGTCTTATCTCATCCCTTTTATGCAGCTTAAGAACATATATATTTATATAATTTTAAATGTAAACAATGTTAGAATTACCATGATATTCATCTATTAATGTAAACCATGTGAGAGATTTGCAACCCCTTGGCAAGGATCTCCTTGTGGCCAGTGGTGGATTGTTCTTCATACTATGTAGGGCTTTCAGAGAACCAGGAAGGAAATGATTGTGTTCTCTCCTCAGCCACCCAATGGGGGATTTGGGCTCTATGAGGCACTCACTTCCAGAAGCACATGTCCAAAGACCATATGTCCAAGGACCATAAACCTTAAAACTTGACCTGCTCACCTTCAGAAAATCCAGATGTCTCTGAGTCTCATTCTTTCAAAAGTTTCCCTTACTCCTGTAAGATATAGGCAGAAGGGCAATGTGGAATTGGAGACAAGGTACCCTTTAATACCTACAGTCTAGCTCTCTAGTAGGTATGAATCCCATTGAGTCATGCAGCTGGGCATTACACTCAGAATCTGAAGGGGCAGCGTTGGTAATCAGAGACTGCTCTGTCCTTCTATTTCCTGTCATGTGGCCCTGCCTGATATTTTTCATAAAAAGACTCCTGGATTTTCCAGATTAAAAGATTTTTTTCTCCTCACAATAACTCAGCTCAAAGAACAAGTCCTCAACCTCCTAAATTAACAGGGGAGACACTCCCTAGTCCCTCCAGGGAGAATAAAGAGAATAGCTTGTCCCCTTCTCAATATATTGTGATTACATTTTATCAAAGCATAAGATAGATAGGATAGGTGGTGAGTGGGTAGACAAATGTTAGAGGTGATTTTATTCTTCTTTGTTCCGTTGGCAAATGCAAAACAGTTGCTGGAAGCACTCCACGGTGGTATTAGGAAACTATTTAGGATTGCTTTAATCTTGGAGACAAAAATAGTAACATTCTACAGAGTTCTGTCACTGGAAATCTTTAGGTTTGGGGGGTTTTTTGTTTGCTTTTTCGAGGTGTAGTTAAGCTTAGAAATCTGGGCTATACATGTTTTCAGCAAAAATCCAGCTCTAGAAAAAGTACATTGAAATATATGTCCTAAATAGGAAGCTTTATTTTACATCCAAAGAGTCCTGAACAGAAGGAACTCTGTCCATAATATTCCATCAGCCTTATAACAGAAGAAGCAAGACAGTGATCGGGGTGGGGGGGGGGGGAGGTTCCTGATGGAACTGATTCTGTGAACAGCCTCCCTTCTCCTGTTTTGGAAGCTCTCAGTTTCTAACAGTCACACATTTGTAGCAAAACTTTCAAAATAATACGATGTTTTGCTTACAAATAACAAAACAGTGAAAAAAAAACACTATAATCTTAAACTTTTCAAACCATTAAGTTACAGATGAATAGGCAAAACATGCTTAATTCAAAGAAGTTATTTTTTGTTGGTTAAAGAACTGATGCTACACCAATTCTGCCACTAACTAGCAACTTTGCTTTTGGTTTCTTGTAAAATAATCTCTAGCGCCCCATCCCAATCCATGGGCACTCTACTGAAATACAAAAGGTGTGTTCAGAGTTTCTGAACGTTGCAGTGCCCATTTTACCAACTTACAACTAAAGAACTCTGACCTCTTATTGATTTAAACCAGTAATGTGTAAACAGCACTTCAGAGCTTGTTTAACAGGACCAAAAGAATTTAAGTTGAAATCTACTTAGGACAAATGAGGAAAACCAGGACATTTAAAAGAATAAATAAAGACCATATTCAGTGACTTAAAATCTGTAGACCTGCACTGTCCAGTATGGTAGTCATGTGCCATGTGTGGCTATTCAAATGTAAATGTAAATTAATTATCATTAAGTGAAATTAAAAATTCAGTTCCTCAGTTGTGCTAGCCACATTTCAAGTATTCCAATAGACACATATAATTAATGGCTACACTGTTGGCCAGCACAGATTTACATTTCATAGAAAGTTCTAGGATACTATGGCTGTAAACAACTTACTAATAATTGAAATGGACTTCCATTGTTACTTGGTAAGAAATTTTTATGCTCTTTTAAACTTATTTGGAAATTTTAAAGTATTTTTTAAGGGGCGCCTGAGTGGCTCAGTTGGTTAAGCGACTGCCTTCGGCTCAGGTCATGATCTCAAGGTCCTGGGATCGAGCCCCGCATTGGGCTCCCAGCTCAGCGGGAAGCCTGCTTCTCCCTCTCACACTCCTCCTGCTTGTGTTCCCTCTCTCGCTCTCTCTTTCACATCAAATAAATAAATAAAATCTTTTTAAAAAAAAAAAGTATTTTTTTAATTCTAATTTTCTCAGCGGTACATTATTTAGTATATAGTTTTCACAGTCCTTTTTTCTTTTTCCTATTTATTTGCATGTTAAAATACATGGTAGTAAGTATCTCATGTACTCTTCTAAGGTTAGATGTTCTTGTTTACTTAAAAATCATGAGAAGAGGTACATGCAATTATATTGAACTAATATATAGCTGTTGGTATTTTTACCTGCATCATTGACATCTCCAAGTAAACAAAACTAAAAAAGATGTAGGATCATTTCTAAAGACCCACATATTTTTTTGTTCTTTATATTCTGTGAGATTTTTTTCCTGCAATGATAGATATGTCTCAATTGTATTGACGTAACTACAGATGACTTAACATTTTTTTCAGAAATTGAAGAGCCAAGCAAAATAAGTATTAGATGACTTATTTCTTTTTTTCGCTTTTTATAGAAATGCACAAGATATTAGAGTCTCTATTTTTGTTTCCAAATTATATGTATCACAGAGAACAGTAGTTTGTTTTCAATTTTTAATTAATATGATCACCACCTGTTATAGTATATTCTGAAAGTTCTTAGTCACCATTTTTCCACTAATATGATCCCATTATTAAAATGTCAGTCTCAATTACTTTCTAGTCACTTATACCTAGTATTCAATTACATTTGGTTCCTGGGCTAATGGTTGTGTGTTACACAAGGCAAAAAATTAAAAACAAATTTGTCTTTGAGTCATCGAAGCATCAAGGATTTGAAATAGCTATATAACTATGAGAAAAGCATATAAATATCCAGCCTGTATTCCCTTTACACATTTAATAGTAGTATTTTTCAATAAAAGCATATATAATAAAAGTTTGCACCCAGTTTGGAATTATCAAGTATGAATCCAAGTCTTACCAATGAAAAAAAGGCAAAGCAAAGGGTAGTCATTTGAGGGGTGGTTCCTACAATAAACAAAAACATAGCTTTCTTTATAGAGTAACAGGTTTACTCCAAATAACCTATTATCTGCAGTATATTCATAGAAACACTGTTCCTAAGCTTGAAAAATAGAGCTAGGTATGCTTAGCACATAACTGACCATACAGGAGACTCAAATTTAGGTTACTGTTAATATTTTTAGTAATTAAAAGAGTTCAAAGAATTAGCATCAAAATGTGGAGGTTCTGTTTTGCTGGCAGGGAGAACCTTTGACTAGTACCAAAAATATTGTCATCCTTCCCCTTCAACTAGTCATTCCTTTTAAGACTTTTAAGAAGATTTAGACATGTAGGAAGCATTTTTTAAATTCCAGAAAGTACAAGATATCTTAGAAATGTAATAACACAACACAGATCTGGTAAAAGGTGGTTATCTGGAACTAGGTCTTGGGCACCTTTTCAGAACTTAAGTGCTAGGAGGCTCTGGGACAACAAGAAGAATGTCATACTGCAAGTCCAAAATCCAGTCAGGAACAGCCTTCCTCCTCCTCTCATGTAGGCAAGGCCAAAAAACTTCTACACACAGCATGGGTCACCATAGAAAGCAAACAGAGCTACTGTAGATAAAACTAGGCAGTGGGTAAAAGCTAGACCCTAAACCTTGGCTCCTCAGTGATGCTCCCAAGTCAAAGAGGAAGAACAAAATGGGCGTTTCACTGCTTCTGGTCCCTCTAGTATGGTCAGTGTGCACAGCAGGAGGATAAAACAATTGTCTTAACAGTGTAAAGCAGGAAGTCCAAACTCCTTTGGCAGTGTGAAAGCAGTGCAAATTGGAGTCACTGATGACAACAGCTTCTCATGTGATATATGTAATACTAATAGGTCAGCCATATTTTATTTGACTCCAAAACCATTAATGAGTGCTTGTCTTCATTTTACAAAGAACATATTTATCTATACACAGTTGAACAAATAGGGAGCTTTAAAAATGAACCTATTTGTGAGAACCCACTGCCCACAACACATCAGCTTGGTGGGACAATTGAAGTAGTAGTAAGCTCGTCTTAGATTTCTGCTAGAATTTAGACTTAATTAGATGGATGAATTAGACAGAACTTACTACCTGAATTAAAGAGTGAAAAATAGAATATGTACCAATTAAGTGAAAGAAAATTCATACTATGAATAAAACAATAAATGTCAATAAATTAAAATTTTTTATTTTAGCTTCCTTAAGATATATGACAAATTTAACAGACCTAATTTAACATCTCAAAATGAAGAGATCTAAGTAAACTGTTTATGATTTTTATCTTCTTAGGAAGATGTTTGACATCTTTAATTTTCATATTTAATCAAATTTTTTTCTGTTTTCAGTTTCTATGGTGTCACTATCCATCAACTCATATTGGTTGAGTGTGTGTGTGTGTGTGTGTGTGTATCCCAAGAGAAAGTAATTCTGCAATCCTCCTCAGCAATTCATTCTAACAATGAAGAACCCTTAAGCTAAACAGAATAATTCATTTCACAGGAAACTTTTATTCAATATGTATAATTAGTTTTAGTTAACTTTATTAATGAAATGTCGCAAATCAATTAGGTTGGCAATAATCAGATGCTGAGGACCCAAGAGGGGCCATAACTCTCACAAGAGGGGAAGGTGATATACAAT